CCAGAATTCTGACATTTGCTACGGAGATGAAAACATGGGTTTTAAAAGACCAGTCCAGTAAGATTGTATCAGGGTAACTAGGTATTTTTCCATTTACGCTGAAACTTTTGGTTTATAAGCTTTCACAGTATGACAAATTAATCTTTAACATTATCATAACCTCTAGGTATTAGCATCTGGCATTCTACTGATGTTAATTTTATGCCCTCAATAGTCATTTTAAAAAGTATTAGAAAAAGAGAGTAGTGAGATAAAGCCCAATCTAACTCCTATAATTTAAGTAAGATGTGTTATTTAGACAGACTCTGCATAAACTTGAATATCTTCTAATATTACAGCCATAAAATATGTAGGTTATTTAGCTTCTCTGTGACTTGGTTTCTTCATCTGTCATATGGGCATACCTCCTTCGATTCTTAGGAGAATTAAATTAGAAAATACATTTAAAGTGCTTAGAATAGTAGTTGGCACATAGTAAGCATTCAACACAGAATATATGCTATCAGTAACACCAGTTTGCATGGGAAATGGTGGCTTAATATGTAGTGATATTAGAATAAAGAAAAGGTATACTGTTTTAGAATTTACTCACCTAAAATTTGGAGAAAACATTTACTATTTCCTAATCAATAAAAATAAAATTTCTGAAAATATCCAATGAACAATTAGTATTTAGTGAGCATTCAATAATAAATTACATAATTACTACCCATTAAACATAGGAAACAAAATAAACTTAAAACATTATGCATAATACATAAAGTTGTCCTTATTAACATGTACTTTTTGTTTAAAATTTCACCCTGAATTCAGAGGTTCCCTAGAATACCATCCATCGTAGAGTATTAGTACGTTAAACCCAATTATAACACAGCTCGTTAGTACTTAGATTTGTGTACTTGTGTCAAATCATTTCCACTGAAAACTGTGTCTTGTCCTAAAACATTTTAGTAATTTATTTGTTTAAGCTACGGGTCAAATAATATTTCCCTGAAAAACAAATATTACAGTCTTAGTCTAAAAAAGGCATGAATTTTCCTCACAAACAACAGGATTTTTGTATATTTGTGTTTAGTAAGGCAAGTAACTTCCAACATACCATGGCAGTGTAACAGGCATAATCATTTTTTCCAGATGTGTTTAAGTTCTGAGTCACTATTCATTAGCTCTATAGGATAACTTCATAAAATTTGATCTTAAAAAATTAAACCACTCTTTTCAATCTTCTGCACATTTTATGTATATACTGTTTTCTCTTATAAGTCCCAATTGTATTAATATACATTCAGTCCCATTTCCCCATCTCTTTATAGTCTAAAATTGATACTTTCAAGTCCAGAGAAAGAAGAATGAGAGTATCAGAAAAAGGGATTAAGAAATGGAGTTTCCATAAGTCTGGAGATTAACAAGAAAAAGGTGGCAGAAGGATGGCTTGAAAAAGAGACGTGAAAGAGAGAAGCACTGAGTCTAATCTAGTGCTGATCGTAATATGTTTCCATGCCTGACTACAGACTTTGGAATGTCTTTGGGCTGCAGTAATCAGAAGACTTAAATGGGTTCCACATTCAAGAGAACTCCTCTGCATGGATATCAGCAGACAAGCTGATGCCTGTTCTTTGCTGGGGGCCCAGCTGAACTTTTGAGCGCCCACACATTCTCCGTGTGGTTTGCTTTCTACAGCACGATGGCTGGGCTCCCGAGCGGAGCTTCCTGAGTGCTTGTTCTCAGAACAAGCGTCGGAGGCCCAGGTGAAAAAAACGGAATGATAATAAAAATACAGCTTATTAAAAATTGTGCAAGGCAGCTAAATAGTGCTCAGAGGTTAATTTATCTAAATATGTATATATTAGCAAGTGAGAAAGGTTGACTATCAATGATCTAAGCATTCATTTCAGGAAGTTAGAAAAAAAAAGTACAACAAAATAAAACTTCAAAAGGTCCAAGTAGGAAGTAATAAAGATAAGAGCAGGAAATAATAAAATAAATAAACATACAGTTGAAAAGACCAACAACGCTAAAATTAAATTGATAAACCTCTGGTAAGACTAATAAAAAAAGGAAACCAAATGGCCATTTGTTCTAAACTATTTAAAAAGTTAATAAAAAGTTAATACGAGGCTATTATGTACAACTTTATATCAACAATTTTGAAATTATTTGCAAATATGATTAAGTTAAGTACTTTGAGATGGAGAGAATGTCTTGTATTAGCAGGTTGGGCCCGAGGTAATGACAAGGGTCCTTATTTATTTATTTACATGACAAAGGTTCTTACAAGTGAGAGAGAAAGGGAGAAGGTCAAAGTGATCCCCTAATAATCATTTTAGTTTTTATGTCTGCTCTTTCATTCCCAATTTTAGTAATTTGTGTATTTTCTCTTATCCTCCACCCTGTCAGTAGATCTTAAGATTTCTCGATTTTGTTATCTTTTCAAAGCAGCAACTTTTGGTTTCATTGATTTTTTTTCCTACTCTTCTTTCCGTTTTCTATTTCATTGATTTCTACTCTGATCTTTATTATTTCTTTTTTCTGGTTTGGATTTAGTTTTCTGGTTTCCTAGGTGGAAGCTTAGGCTGTTGATTTGACACCTTTCATCTTTTTTAATATTGGAGTTCAAATCTGTAACTTCGCTTCTAAGCTACATCCCATAAATTTTGATATGTCAAGTTTTTATTATCATTCAGGTAAAAATATTTTCTCATATTTTTTTATTTCTTCTTTGACCCATGGGGCATATGGTTGTTTAATTTCCAAATGTTTGTGGATTTTTCAAGTTTTCTTTTGTTGATTTCTAACTGAAAGCTCACCTAGCAGTTGACTAGAGCATCGCATGTGGCCTATTCAGCATGGTGGTCTTCTGACAATGTCTAGTTTCCCCCAGAGTGGATATGGCATATTTCAAAGGTGTGTTGAGTCCATTTGTTTTTATAAATATTTTAATAACTATATATTTTTATTTCTATAAGTTGTACTTATTTCTTTTTCAAGCCAGTTTTTTCCTAATAGTCTTAGTCTTCTGTTATATTTCATTTTTGTCTTTTATAACTTTAATCATCTTTATTGAATATATCTGATAATATTTTTATCTGTGCTTTGGAAGTTTAATTTTGTCCACTGACACTTGCATGTGTGGATTGTTTCTGCATGTTTTATAATTTTAGACTGTGACTCATCTTCAGTGTAGTTTTATCTCTGAGGATCCTGTGTAGTCTAAGCTAAAGGCATGTTCACCTTCAGTCAGCTTTCACTTGCTTCTGTCAAGTGCCCCAGGGATATTACGAGTTGGTGACTATAACTGCATCCAGAAACATTCAATAGACAATCTTGTTTTTCCATAGCAACATTTTAGGTTTTTTGGTTTGTTTGTTTTCTGTAATAGAATTTTTGGAGTCAAGACTACACAGCTAATTTCTAAAGGCCCTAAAATAAACATCATTTTGATCAAAATTTAAATATTAAGTTTGGATAAATTTGTACTGATTTCCTAATACAAATAGAAAAATTTCATTTTAATATTTACTATAAAGCTATGAAGTTATTCTTATTGCAATAAATATGCATCCAGGTACAAAGCAAAATTAAAAAATTTTAATATTTTAATTGCTATAATTTATAGGGTCAACTATGTGTTAAACTCTATTGTCTCACTAATGAACCTAGAAAGGTGTTTTAAATTTTGTTTTAATTTTTCAATTACAGTTTACATACAATAATATATTAGTTTCAGGTGTACAATATAGTGATTAGACATTTATATAACTTATGAAGTGATTACCCCGATAAGTCTAGTACCCGAAAGATATATATTATCATTCCCTTTTCTAAGTAGGGACACTAAAACTCAAAGAATGGTGGATCTGGGACTCAGATATCTTTCTGTTTGACTTCAAACTCTAGACTTTTAACAGCAAAATGTTAATTATTCTATTTGGTATTTTAAAAAATGTTATGTTGAAAATAGATATACCCAGGGCAGCTGTGCAGCTCTCTTCACTGTGGATACTGAAGGACCCAGGGCAACATCTTGAATATCATGAGCATTGCTGATACTATGCCAGGAGAAAAAGAGAACTCTAGAGTATCTTATAGCAACAATTAAATGCTTTCTTCAGAAATAACACGCATGGTTTCTGCTCACAACTCACTGACCGGAACTGGTCACTTTTCCCACACACAAGTGGGTCAGAAATTGCAATCCCTCTAATATTTAATGAGCTAAATATTGACTTACTATCAACCTATTGAATGAATCTCAACTTCAGCTGATGGCTTGTTCCCTTCAAGGTCATAATAACAGTTCCATACATCACACCCAGAAAAGCAGCATTCAGAAAAATGGCCATCACTATTCTTTTTTGTTGTTGTCAATCCTCACCCGAGGATATATATTTTTCCCCAATCTTCACCCTAGGACATGCTTTCCATTGCTTTTCGGGGCGTGTA